TCATGGTAGGTAAGATTGAGATTGATTAGAGAGCATACTGGGTTACAAGGGATCTTCATAGGCCCTATAAGAAATAGACTCACAATATAAATTATAATGAGAGAGGATTGTGCACCTTAACAAATCAAGGATGTTTAGATATGCCAGAGGAGAACTTTTTGCCAGATCAATGCCAACTGAAATGTGATTGAATGGGATATTCTTAGTGATTCGAAATGGTATAATTGACCTAAACTTCATAGCTTGCAGTCATCATAGCAAGATTTCAACTATTGCATAAAACATATAACAATCCAGCAGGGTTTTGGTTAATATTAGTTAGAGGTTTGGGAGGCTTTTGGTTTAGGCTTATAATGTCAACAATTCAATGCCCACTTACCATTGTTTCAAGGTTTCCTTTATATATTTCTGGCTGGTGTTCTTTTTGCAGTTTTGGTTAGCTGGAGGGGGATTTTTCAAGTCTTGTGTCTTTTATCTGTCACAGTAGAGTTTCTCATGATAGTCTTGTCACCATTTTTTATTCTCATCATGGGTGACATGTGTACCTCTCAGCTGTTATGTACCACATGACCTTAGCCCAAGTCTGTTCTGAACTCCTTCTCATTAATTTTTATTTTCCATTAGTATTTAGTCATACCAGTCATTTCTATTTTTGCAAAAGACTCAATTATATTATCTCTTATCTTATTGATATTGTTAAATATATCTTCTTTTAGTCAATCTGGCTATATTTTTAGGGATTGATTTGACAACAAGAGAGTTGTGTCTTGACAGCCTGGGTGAGAAATTTGGGAATTAGAAAGCAAGGGAAGGGGAGATAATATCTCCTCTTTGCTCTGGGAGCGGTCGGTCCTGGAGGAAAGGGGACAGAATGCTTCCTCTTTGCTCTGGGACCAGTCGGTCCTGGAGGGGAGAGCAGAGAGCATCCCCTCTTTACTCTGGGACCTGTCGGTCCTGGAGGGAAGGGATGAAATTGTCTTCTTGTTGCTGTGGGACCAGTCGGTCCTGGAGGAAAGGGGAAAGAATGTGTCATCTTTGCTCTGGGACCGGTCGGTCCTGGAAAGGAGAGGAAAGAAAATCCCCTCTTCACTGTGGGACCTGTCGGTCTTGGAGAGGAGGGGAGAGAAGATCCCCTCTTTCCTCTGGGATCTGTACATCCCTTCTGGAGGGAAGGGAAGAGAATGTCTCCTCTTCACTCTGGGACCGGTCGGCCCTGGAGGGAAGGGAAGATAAGCCTTTTCTCTGGGACCAGTCTGTCCTGGAGGAATGCCTCCTGCTGGCTTTGTGGCCCGTCACCCTGGGGGAAAGGGAGAGAACGTATCCTCTTTGCTCTAAAACCGGTCGGTCCAGGAGGGGAGGGGAGAGAAATTCAAATGCTATCTTGGTGCAACAGATGGTTACTGGATCAGTCTTGGAGTCGAACAGTGAAAATCATCAAGTTGGACACCTAACTTGGGGGTTTGTCCAAAAGCAATCAGAGGCTGCAATCGAACTGACAGCTTGAGCATACATAGAGTGAGATTTCAAGTCAATGGTCTCGAGATGATCATGCCAATGAATATTTTGGGAATGATTGAGAAGAGAGAAGAAAACTCACTTTGCCAGGGTTTTTCATACATCCAAAGACCAGTTCGGCAGTAGCCTGACTCAGGGACATCCGTTGCCACCATGGCAATGGTTTGTTGAATGAGCCGAGGGGTTTTTTAATCTGGTCAGGATTTTGCATGGATCCAAGGGTTCAACAAAATTGCGAGTAAAAAAGACTTCTGACGGATATAAAAGCAGAGTACCAAATGAACGATATAGAGGCCCCAGGCACCGAGAAAGTTGTAATTCCAACAATCAGAGTGTCCTCCTCCTCTCCGTTGTTGCATTTGCACAGTTTGAGGGGCTAATAAGCTGGCCCCCCACTTGTCAGCTGCCTTTGCAACAGGCTGGGGGCTTTCATGCCCAGATGTTTTGACCCATGCAATGACATAGGCTGGCCTCTGAGTCCAAGTGCACCAGCTTTGCTGGTGTTGGGGGGCTATTTTTTCTCATCTTTTGTGTAATTGTCCTGGAATCATGTGATTTTTTTCAACTTTTGTTGCAAGACAAAGCACTTGACCTTTTTTTGTGATTTTTCAGATTTGTAAGGGGAAACCCTTGAATTTTAAAACTGTGAATCACTGACTTTAATATACTTGGATTAAATACATACCTGTGTTCTACATAAGTAATTATCACTTACCTTTCACTCCTTTGTCCGTGAAATACCTGTACCACAAGTTATCCCTCTGCTACAGTATTTTCACGGTCAAATATTATTACAAATAAATATGTACATGTATTAAATAGTAAGTATTAAGTGTCAATAGAATTAATATATTCAATACATGCACTGATCACAATTATGACTACATTATTAGAGGATCTGTTAAGTACACGCATCAAGAGCAACTAGTACATTGATCAACTAGTACACAATTATGATGTCACTTACAGATCATGACAAATAATGATCAGTCACTCAATTGATGTGCTCATTCTCCTGGCCAAAGCTCCCTTGATTCTGAGCGCTCATTCTTTCCCCCCTTCAGTATTCTGGAACTTATAATCCGTGCCTCTTTCACTGATTAATCCCCAGAATATTCAGACACCAGTTAAACTAGTTAACATTTATATTGATACAGTACACGTAACCAACATAAATCTTGTCTACATTTATTGTTCTTAAGCTTCAGTACTCTTACTCAACTTATCCACAGTATTCATAGCCTTGCTGAATATTCCCATCAACAATACCTGTTAATCTTCAACTAATTTTGTTAAAGCTTAATAAGTATTGTTAGCCCATTCCCTTTTGGGAATAACCAAATCAATCCCAGGTGAGTCTTAGTACCCTGGATGCCTATTAATACCTTGTATTGATCCGGATGCGCTGTTGATAGCAAGCCTCTCAGTAAAGACCATACTGATAGAGTGAAACCTCCTCTTTACAGGACAGGTATTAATCACCCACTACCTAACACTCACCACGCTCAAAAACTTCAGTCAACTCATAGTAACAACCTTTTTACTATTAAATACTCAGGTTAGTTACCCAGAGGCTGACAGACAAGAGGATTCCCTCCTGGACATCAAGGTGAAGTCTCCATGCTCCAAATCCAAAATATGAAAAAAATCAACACAAGGTTTGGTTCCAACTCTCAAAACTACCCAGGTTTGGAGGGACCTGCCACAACCTGGGTAGGACTTCTTTCTGAAGTTCTGGTGGACATCTTCCAGGGTTTGGGAGCTGGATATCCAAAAAGTGATATTTTTTTGCTCAAGGCCCTATAATTAAAGAGGATTAATAATTCAGCAAAAAACAACCAAGAATCAGATATCTGAATCCCATTCCTGTGATGCATTGAACAGAATCCAACACCCAGCCCCTGGACAGTTTCCCGGAGCTAATTTGGGTTCCCAGAAATCTTGGCAGCTATTAACCTAAGACCCAGTAGAGCTTTGGGGAAAAATGTGCTGCTGTACTTTTTTCTCAAAAAGAATTAGAAGAGCAGCTCTTTTTGTGTGGAGAGGCTAAAGGACCAAAATTCTGCTAGCCAGCATGTTAGCACAGAGTAGTGAGCAACTTTTTGGGGACCTGCACGCATAGTTTTAGCACAGATGTGGCAGAACTCTGCTATGTTAAACTATTTTTTAGAAGAATTCAGCTACACAAAGCCACACTAATGTACGGTGGACCTGGACCGACACCAGTTGTGCCACGAAAAACAAAAACCAAATACAGGGTACAGCTCCCTTTCAGGAGCTGTAGCCGAACACCGACTGCTGTACGACCAGTATGTACTGCAGTCGGCACGTCTCCTGGATTTCCCCTGTCAGTTCGCGGGGTCTCTCCTGATCCCCGAGGCTCAGGGCCTCAGCGAGCTCACGAACGCCGGGCCTGGCCCGGCATTAGTATAGATGCTTTTCATTTACGATAGGAATTGATGTCTTCATTTTTTTTCTTCTCCGAGGTTGAACCTCCAAGACAGGCTTGGGAAGAAAGGGAGAGCACCCAGAAGTAAAGGGTGGATGATGAACATCCTGTGCGGTGTGTTGCATTGGTAGAATCAGTTGAAGTGGACATTGATTGAAATAAAGGTGACGGATATGATCTTCGGTCGAGAAGATAGACCGTTTATGGAGACAACTTCATGGGATTGGCCCATTGGAGATCACCAGCCGCTGAGTCGCAAGTGATTCAGGAAAGGGTGGTGTTATTGCTTCTCGTCGATGAGCTCAGAGCCAGCGTTATACGTGTCGTCGCAGAAACTCATACAGTTGGTTTTGCAGAACAGGAAGTTGTTGATCTTTCTACAAAATCTCAAGCCAGCCATTCCGCCTAACACGCATTCGGACAGCAAAAGATCAATCTCAGGCTCGATTTCTTTACTGTTGTTCTTGTCGATACTTTGCACAACAACAATGTCCCCCTGTTATCAAACGAGGGGACCGTGATTATCCAATAGAAGCGACCGTCATTATCCAATAGAAGCGCGGCGAGGGTGCCATAGTGGAGGTGAGCTCCTCCAAGCGCCGCGCTCGACTGCAGAAGCCTAGCTACAAAGATGTGTCTGAGCGGTCAGACAAGACCCAGGCCAACAGCACCCGGAATGTACATACACAGATGGTGAAGCTTTCTGGCAGGGTTGCAGTCCGGTCCTCCCATCACTGTGCCAGGTCACATGAGGTCACATGAGATTGCATTTGTAAAATGAACTAATACCACCAACCATCCTAGCCCAGTCTAACAAACCTGGCCAAACCACAGCTGGCCCAATGTGTACTATTTTTTTTGGCAGGTGGTGGGGCAGGCCATGGTGTTGCCATCTATGATTCCACTTGGCTTACAACACACCTTGGGGTTTGACCCAGGCGTTTTTGGCCCAACCAGGGCAAAAAGTGGGCTTTTCAGGCCCTCTGGACCACTGCTTCACTCCATAAAAAGACACCACCTACCATGGAGGAAAAGCATGCCCAAAAAATCATCCCACAACTCTAAGATTCTCCCCCATCCCCCAAAAAACTCCAACATTGCTACCCCCTCAGCCAAATTTAACCCCTTTTTCACCAACCCAAACCCAACAATCTCCCTGATGCAATCACCTATCTCCCCCAATCAAGAATTTGAAGAAGATGTCTTATCAGAATATTCCACCATCAGTTACCCAGACAGGTCTGATTTTCCTGAGGTTTTGTCTGAGCTGGATATCAAGGAGGCCATCGCATCTTTGGTATCTCAAGGAGTTACTGGAAAGGAGATCCACAAGTTTCTTCAAGGTGATTGTGGAGTGAAGATTTCACTCAGAACACTCAACCGCAAGCGGGCAGAATGGGGCCTACAAAATTGTGACCTTCCGAAACCACCAAAGAACTCAAAGCTTACCCCTGACGTAGAGGCTTCCCTCATCTCCTCTCACCAACAGGGGTTCAAAGTCTCAGAAATTCGCTCTCGCCTCCTCAGTGACACTGGCAAAGATGTGTCCCACCGCACAGTTGAAAGATACTTGGCCATCCTGGATTTGAAACTGAAGAGGAATGACCTTGCGGACGGGAAGGTCACCCGGGATGACGTGGTGTGCCTCATTGACCATGCAAGAAAAGAATTACTTGCCACGTCAGCTGGTTATAGGAGGATGAACAACATCTTAAAACAAGAATACAAGATACATGTACCCCGGTATGCTCTGATTTTTTACCAGCTTATCTGATGTTTGATTACTGACCATCAATCCTTTTATCCCCATGTAGACTTCTTGTATATTAAATCTTGAGTGAGCTGGACCCACAAGGAATGGCTGACCGTCTGCGTCATTCTTGCAAACGGAGGATTTTCAGAACCCATGGACCCAACCATATCTGGTCAGCTGATGGACATGACAAGTTGAAACCATTTGGAATCACAATTTATGGTTTTATCGATGCTTGGTCCCGAAGGATTCTAGGGATGTATGCTCATGTGACCAACAATGACCCATTGCATGTGGGAGTATACTTCCTACAGCTTGTAGCAGACACAGGTGGAGTACCACTTAAAGTTACTGTAGATCGTGGGACTGAGACTGGGGAAATGGGGACACACATGATTGAACTCACACAAAGATACACCGGTATCACCTTTGAAGAAGCCCAGACGCATATGCACCATACGAAATCCACTCGAAATCAGAAAATTGAGTCATTATGGTCCAGAATGATGAAAGAGCACAACAGGCCGCTCATTGACACCATTTGGACACAAATAGAGGAAGGAAAGTATGACCGGGATGATGATATTCAAAAGTAAGTTGTAAATTCATCCCCTTTCAGATTTCTAACTAGCTACTGACTTCCCCACCATTAGACTACTTTTTCTATTCCTTTGGATGCCTGTGGTTCAGAAAAGTGTGGACCGCTGGGTCACAATATACAACGCTTCAAGGAAACGCAAGGACAAGTTAACAGAGCTTCCAACTTCATGCTCCCCAAATTTTGCATACTCAACCCCCGAACACTTTGGTGCAACAGATCAATTGATCCATGTCCCCCAGGAAGACACAAATTTCATCTTGGAAAATACTTACCCAGAGAGGGAAGCAATGTTCACCCACACACCAGACTGGTTTCATGATTTGGCCAGTTTGATCATGCAAGAAATGGGTTTCCATTTTGATCAAATGGCACCAGGAGGGGTCTGGGTCATCTTTGACGAAATGCTCCCATACATACAAGCAAACATACCAAGTGATTACATCCCCAACTCATCTTTCAACAACTCAGCAACACAATCTTAGTTGTAGATTCATTCATATACCTTTCCTTGTGCATATTTTTCAACATTCCCCAAAGAACAATTTATTTGATGTCTTTGTCATGTGCTTCTTCTGCTGTATATATTTGATCATTCTACCAGAAGCTTTATTAGATGGCTTTGCCTGCTTTCAATTATTTATTCATATACCCCTCCTGGTCCAGATATTCCATCATGTGCCCAGTAACTTCATGAGATTGCTTGACCTTTTTTCAAAATTGATATACTTCTCCTTGTGCATATATTTCCTCATGATGCCGGATACTTATGTTGATTGCTTTGCCTTTGATCAATAATTTAGTTTGGGTTGAAATTCCTGGATGACCCTACCTTAGTTTCAACATTTGGTGCCTGTGGACACAGGTGGAAATTTGGGGTGAAAACAAATCTTTATGATCATTACAGCCTGAAGACTTCCCACATTCAATTTGATCATGCCTGGGAAGCACCCAATAGTTGCCCAGCCATGGGAATTGTGTTTCAAAAGCAGCAGCCTGAGTAGCTCTGGAGTATGATGGAAAAAAGGCCTCTGAGGACAGCAAGTAGGTATAGGCGGGAGGTAAGTCCACATAGTGTCTGTGGCTTTTTGGCATATCAGAAGCTGCTGGGGTGATTCAGGTTTGTCCAAGGATCCCATAGAAAGTGGTTTGTGTTCTTCAATTGGGAGGGATGATCAGAGTTTGGAATTATGGGAAAGTGATCAGTCATTTCCAGGGAATGATCAGGCTAGCTAAGTACTTATGTAGAATGAGGAGAAATATATTTTGTGGAGTAGTCAGCATATTTAAATATGTATCTGGAGGAAGATTGAGCAGTCAAAGACAGTCATGGAGGAAAGAATGGGGCTCCATGTAGGTTGTGGGAAAGGCAAGATAGTACTAAAGAAGGAAAAAGGAAGGAGCTGTCTAAAATAATTTCAGTTCCATCCCATTTGAGGACTGATTAAGGACCAATCCCTGATGATCGAATTGATTTAGATGCAGGAATAGTTCAGTGTGTAACTTGTTTTATATGTGATGTTTGGCTGAAGCGCCCAGCCAACAGGTGGATATGGTAAGTGATCAGTCATTTCCATGAGGCTAGTCAATAAGGATCTGGGGGTCATGAGGTACAAGACATTAAGGCGGCTGGCCCTTTGGATGTTCAGGTTTGCATATCACCAAGTATTTATATTCTCTGGCTATCCCATTCCAGGGGATTTCAAGGCAAATGAGAAACAGAATGTAGTTGTGTTCAACAAGAATTATAATATGCAAGCAAATTTAATTTGCCCATTGGTAAGGGAAAGCTTTTCACTAAAAAAGGGATATGTGAAGTTCTGGGATCATCTAATAAGTAGGGCTGGTGTTAATAGCTTCAGATTGTGGGATTGCATGCACCATTGGGGTGGAAAAAACTGGGGGACTAGTATGAGCACTTGTTTATTGTGGTGGGTAGGACACCAACAGGTTGATACTTAGTCAGTGTGTTTTTGTTCAGATGAATGAGTGGCTTGAGCCTTCACCAATCTTTTGGAATACAAGTGAGAATGGGGCATGCATTGAGCCAGTAACACTACTATTGTGTCATGACAGACAGCCTTGAGATCTTACATGACAAGAGCCCCTCTGTGTCTGTTCTGATCAATGGACAAGAAATGGGTTTGTTTTGACAGCAGTGATGGGCCTCACGCAAAACAAACATTGAGCAAGTAGATGCTACAAAATAGTTGGCCTGGGCAGGCTTGAACAACAGATTCCCAGGGGGATGAGAGCGCGCAAGACGAAAATTGAACGGGTCGGCAAAAAAACTGAGGGATGAACGATTCAAATTGGTTTGAGGGTCCAATTTAAATAGCGGTGATTACACATATGACATAGTACTTGAGTTACTCACGAATGACTGAAGTTGGCTTATCGTACGACAATTTCCATCAAGACCGACTCGGAGATGAGTGTGTCCACCTCCCTAAGTACGTCCTTCATCCATTGGCGATTAGGGTCCTTCTTCAATGGGCGATTAGGTGATAAATGAAGAGGGCGACGTCTTTTGCTGGCGTAATATTGCCGGGGACCTCGCAGACTTGAACTCGAAACGATCTCGCGGATTTTCCGACGAAATCTCACCAGCTCCGGATGCTCAACAACGGTTGCAAGGGCCAATTTGACACTACGGCGCCGTTTTCTTGGGCGCTCGCCGCCTGCGAATGGGTGGTCTGCTGGGGGGCCACTATGGTCTGCTTTGCCTGGGAAATGGAACAATCAACATGGGTGGGTCAGTTACATCTGGCCCTATCCAAATGAACTCCTGCCATGCATACCTGACATTGGCAATGGACCTGTTGGCTTGGCGATCAAGAATGGTTTGTCGGGGGTGGACTTTGAATCAATTTGGAGTATAACAGGACTTAGGGTGAGATGCGGTTTTTGGACGATACGTGATTTGTGTGTTGTTGGATGAGCTTGTGAATTCTCAGCATCTGATGGTTTCGCTCCTCTATGCTGGTTTGACATTGTGTCCAACCGTCCCCAAGAGCGCGCTGACCTCAGGCCCCGTTGGGACCTTGGATGCCCCTGCAGCTGCCCATCTCCCTTGAGCATGCACATGATCAATTATGGCGCTGATGAGACAACGCGATCCCTTGGGCTCTGTAGTGAATGCGATCTTCTTTGCCTCCATGAAAGAGCCTTGTCACCGCTCGTTTACAAGGGCTCCGCTGGGGTAGACAGAACTCCTTGAGTAGAGACTTGATATCTTCACAAAGGTTACGATGGCGCTGATGAGACAACGCCATCGCTCAGGCTCTGTAGTGAATGTGATCTTCTGTGCCTCCATGAAAGAGCCTGGTCACAGCTCATCTGTGGCCTAGAAGTGCTTTGTAAAGCCAAGATGCAAAACAGAGAGATACGGTGTATTTTTGGGCCGTTTGTCTTGTTTGCACATTGATATATACGTATCTCATCTCGTCCTCTGATACTTTCTGAAGTTTTATTCATGCGCCTTTACAGATCCTTTTCATTATAAATTCTGAGGGGATAGCCCCCATTTTTGGGTTCAGAGAGGGCTTTCAAATCAAAGGGGGCACATGATCACATAAACTATTTTAATTTTGAATTCTTTTGAGGAAAATACTGATGAAGCTAGCAACACGTGCAATCAGGATAATATACACGTGACAGAGAATTTGAAACAGTGTTGGTTTTTGTTCATGATCAATTCCCTTGAAGATATATAAAAGCCTTGTGAAAATATGGGAAGGTGAAAAGAGAGACCAATGCCAATGTAGCATACACCTGTGAAAATCAATCTTATGTATAGTTGCAGATTTGGTAAGCATTTGGCAAAGTCTAATTAGCTCTGCTTTGAAGGGTTTTTTTGGTATAGATCTGTTGTATTGATTCTCTGAAATAAAGATGAGAGCATTTTCTGAAGTTGTTTTACATGGATCACAAGAATGTACTTATGTCAAGTTCAAGATTGCATGGACCAAGCCTGCCCTGAGACAAAATATAAAAACAACACATGGGCCTTTGCCCAGAGGGGGGGGGGGGGCAGAAAAATGCAGTGTTACTTACTTTTATTACAATTTTGAACTTGCATGGGTTTGTCAAGTTCAACATTAAAAGCACCAAGTATTTGGCCAATTGGTTCAATTGCTTGGATTCTTACATGCATATGATCCAGCAGGCACCACATACATAAAGCCATCCATCAACCCATAGGTATGGGTTTAAGTATGAATATTAATGAGATTATACTACGTCTCTCACCCTTAACTTCTGATTTCAGTGTGCTGTTTTTTTCTACTGTATGTTTTTAACATTCTGGAGGCTGAAAAAGGCTGAAAAAATTGACAATTGTGAAAGTAGCAGACAAATTCTAGGATTTTCAGCTCTAACATTGGAACAACGTGAAAATACAAGGTTGTCAGATTTCTCTTTTTGTTGATGTTAATTTTTTGGTTTTTGGGTTTATATTTTCATACGTTTCATGATGTTGTTTGATGTCTTTGGATTTTTCTGAAAGAAAGAACGATTTTGTTGAAAAAATGATGGTTTTTAAGTAGGCTTTGACAGTAATCTTAATCTGGGAGGTTGATTTTGATTGTTTGTAAGTAGGCAGTAGACCAAGATGATCAGTGAGGTCAGAATGATCTCAGATTTCATGATAGACATCTGAAACCACTGGGCCAACCTGCAACTGTGAACTTTATTGTGTCACTTCATCCCTTCACTTGTTGAATGGCCAGTCAAGTATCCAACATCATCTCTGGAATTCGAAGCCACATGAGAATTTAACGGAAAGCTGAAATGAAGTCCAATGTCAATGGTTGAAAACCTGATGGTTTGTTTTGCCCTCTGAATATATTTTTTTATTTATATGTAGATGTTTTTTATTTTTGATGCTAGCAGTGTTCATGTACTCCTTTGTGGTTTATACAATTAGAAAACCTGTCTAAGGCCTGACTAAGGGCATAGCATACACTCATAACAGAATAATCTACCTAACAGCATAGGAGAAATCAGTAATCAATATGCTTTTTAACCATATATACACTTCGTGTATGGGCATAATCCCCCTAAAGGCATAGTAAAATCTTGTGCCCAAAGGTAATACCCTTAGACAATTTTGACCATTGCTCAAGACCCAGAGTAATCTTGAAAGCCCAGTGAGGCTGAGGTCATTCCTCTTGCCATTGGAATCCGGTGCTTGATGGTCAGCACTGCTCAGTGAGCTTGGAATATGAAACAATGCGACATGAAATCCATGGCCCTACCTTCAACCGCAAACTTGATCATGTACAGTTACTTCAGCCGTTCACTTTCAGGGAGCTCTTGCTGTTGGCTTCTCAAGGAAGCGGTCATGATTTGTACTGTTTCTTGTTTCTAACACCAACAATGACTGAGCTCTTGCTGTTGGCTTCTAAAGCAAGTGAACATGATATGTACTGTATCTAATATCCACACCGGCGTTAGAAGCCGCATGAGAATGTAATAGAAAGCTCAATTGAAGGCTAGTGTTGATATTAGAAAACTTGATGGTGTGTTTGGCCCTCTGAGGCTATTCTTTTAGTTATGTGTATATTTCTCAAATATCCTCTCCCTTGCTTACCTGTCAAAAGATCCATGATGGGCCTCTTTTGTATCTTGGTATTGGAAATCTGTGTTGGCCATATGTACTCCTATCATCTCGCTTCTGGGGGGATGGGGTCTTCAGGGTTTGATGAATGTGAATAGACATGAACCAGGCTGCAGCCCAAAGTGGAATTTGTTTTGGGATGCTGACAGTTCAAGAACCTCTGAATATGTAGACAGACACATCTGTTTCTCAAGAAAGTTCTTCCATTGTCAGTCTTGGCAAAAGTGCGTTCTGACCAGATTTCTTGGGAGGTACATCCCAGGCAGTGTGTCCCCTCCACTGAGATTCCCCTGAGTCTGAGGATGACTTTGTTCAGCTGTTGATATTTTGAGGAGATACATACTGTTGGGTGTCCTTGGAGTGAAGAGAGCTTGTTTAGAAAAGCAATGGTGCTGGATAAATTCATTGCTTTAATTTTTTCAATTTTCTCTTCCTTTTCATTTTGATTAGTTCCTGGTTGAAATTCTGAACACCACCAACACCCCCAAAAGAGCAAGATGACAACCAAGACTAATAGCCTTCTGAGATGTGGCCCAACCAGAACCACATCCCAAATCAAACCACTGATTATCCACATATGAATTCAATGCCTCCTGCTGAGAAAAGCCAACAAATCACTCTTCTAATGTGGCCTTCTGCATTGATTCTTTGGATGATAATCATCCTTTTTGGTCCAATTGATTCAATTCTGAACAGCATTGCAGATCAAATGTCACTAAACAACTAGCCATTGATTGACATATTCCTCCACAAAATTTGAAGTAAGCTATCCTGAAATGACCTTGAATTGTAGATATCATATCAGACCATGATATGATATCTACAATTCAATCTACTTAACCCCACTTCTTCTATAAAAATTTATTAATTACCCATCCTTGTCATCAGAGTCTGAATGAATAAAAAATTTATAAACTTGAAAAGCAATCAATTGATGTGAATCCTAACTTAAGTCATAGAGGCCTGGGTAATCCTTTACCCCTTTAGATATTCTTCAAGAATAACACCGGTCTCAATTCATGAAATCTCCCCAATACACAAACTCTTTAGATCATCTATTTCTCTATCCTTTCCTCTCTTTGTAATTAGCTATCTTCCTTATGATACTAATAAATTTATTACTACAAACCTATCTTGGCCATCTCCATCTCTACTCAAGGCCTCTCACGCGGCACATGAAAATTCAATGTCCCACAGAATCAGTTCAG